TTAGCTTCAAAAGTTAGACAGAACGTTCTCGAAAAGAATTCTGCATCGCTTGGTCAAATGTCAGCACCCCTTTTTGTATCAAATGGCCCTGTGTGGATCCTTCCTCCATTCACTGCTCTTAACCCTTGGTTCAGCAATGCAAAGGATGGAGGGTCCAGAACTGTGTGTTTGTGGCAGAAAATGCTCCTATCCTCTCCTGACTGGTCATCTGTTTCTCTCTCAGCCAAGGAAAAACAGGACTAGCAATAGCAGAAATTAAATGGTGAACGAGGAAATCAACACTTGACCTTTTCAAAGTAATTATGAGACTAAAGAAGCTGCTGGGGGAGACAGAGGGCACGGACCACATTCCAACACAGGAGAAATTTGTAGTTAAATTTGTATTAAAGAGGTCTGGCAGTTTTTGTTTTGTTTTTCTTACTATAACTTGATTTCTCATCTTACCCACATATAATCATTAACGTAGAAAACCCCTTCCTAAGAGTTCAGGATTAAGCTGTGACAGAAGAGATGCCTGCCATGACACAAATGTTTGTATCTTGATGATGTCCATGTCAGTGTCAGTAGTAGAGATATTAAGCTATGAAGCAAACACAGGCTCTTAAAGAAGTTTGTAAAGATTATATGCCATGTAGGAAGTACAACCAGAAATATCCAGCACACCTCTAGTTCAATCAATAAACACAAATATCTATGAGGGACTGAGGAAATGGAAACAAAAGAGTTTCCAAGGTAACTGCCCTCAGGCTAGTTCAGGCTGTGGCCACAGTCTAGTTAAATTTAATTGACATTTACCTTATTTTTTAAAAATGGGGAAGACAGGGGTGTTTCTTCAGGTCTATTTCACACTTTGGTTTCCTACTTCTAGGAGAAACCTGTTTGGTTTTAAAACAAATCTGGCACATGCATACCCAGGAAAGAAAAAGATGGAGATGTAGCAATCCCATGAACTGTCCCATTCACCTTTAAAGTCACTAATGTGCTTACAACAACTCATGGTACACTGTGTTTAATAATAAAGTCTTCAAAATTTTGGCAGCCTTGAGGTCGGAAGAAAGAAAGGCTTAATCAGCCTCAGCAGGTACTTCAAATCTTGTGATAGGTGACAGCTTCCATCCAAAGAGAGGCTGCAGATTTTTTTTTACCATCCCCCAATCATAAAAAATGCAATGAAGTTCCAAGCTATACCCCACAGTAATCTTCCCACCCTTTCAGAAGCGAGTGATGGGTAACCTTTCTTCCTCACCCTAGCCTTTCTCTTTTTATTTTCCCCCTCACCTGCAGTTAGGGAACCCCTGTGGTTTTCTCAGATGTACAGCCAAAAGACTTTTCCTGGAATATTTACCAAAGGGTGTGCATAATAGCAAGGAGAAAAGAGACTGAAGCAATGGCCACACCCACGCTACCTAGAATCATTCAGCACAGGGGCTACTCCAGCTCATGAAATGCAGTACTACACAGATTTGTTCAGCGCACTTCCAGAGGGTGCTTACCCCTTTGGGCGGTCACATGAGAAAGGTAAAAACTAACAAGATAATTGTCATCCTCTCCACTGATCCCTCTTCTACAGCAGGAGCAAACTGTTGGCGTGAAAATAATATGTCATGCCTACATTTCTGCATTTTACTCATGACCGATTCATTATTCACACAGTTTCTGAAAGTCTACCTCATGTCACATTGTATTCTGTATACAGCCTCTGTCCTGTGTGGGGGTTCACTCGAGTCTTTTACTAAGAAGATATTGAATCCCAAGTATTTCAGGCACGAAAAAGATTGCAGAAGAGGTTAAGGGTAGCCTAGTGTGGTCAAGACAGGCTACCCAGAAGAGAGAAGGTTTGGTCTGTAGAGAAGAACAGAAAAGAATTCAGATATGCTGGAAGAAAAAAAGAAGAAAAGAATTTCAGACTCAGGTCTGTGCCTAAAAGCCTTAAGGGTTTCTGAACTTGGCCTTTCCAACTGATAGATATGGAAGTTTATCAGCACAAAAACAAATTTACAAAAAGCCATGCTTCTCAGAATGAGTTCTACTGGGATGATTTTAGAAGCCCAACAACATTTCTGGTAGGAAGCCTGAAAAGTGGTGGATTTTAGAGGAAGAAGAAGTAGAGATCTGCTAGGTTTTATCCCATGGAAAGCAAATTCTGAAGTCTTGGCAGTCAACAAACCTAAATTCCAGTGCATCTCCAGTTCAGAGTCTGGAGCTCCAGGCAAGCTTCTTAACTTCTCTCTAAACCTTGGCTTCTCCATTTTTTAGGATGGAGATGGGTCAGTTATCAGATATAATAAGGCAACACGTGAAATTTTCTAGCTTCATAGCTGATGTATACATGTTCAATAAACAGTGACTATTGTGATCACATGAAAAGAAACCAAAAAAATTACCCAGTTAGACATAAGTGAGAGATTACTAAATTGCATTGTTTTGGAGGGAAAGAAAGTTTGAGGGTCTGATCTGTCTGGCACTCCATATGCTACATTTTATCCCTGGCAGATTGTTTGGACTGTAAAAATGGAAGAAACAGGGTGGATGTCTGGCTCAGTTGCAAATGGCAGGACAGTCTTTGTAGTCCTGTTTTCTAATGAACACTTTAATGAATGCAGGGAAAGTTACCTTCTTCAGTGCAGAATATGAAAATCACTGATTATTCACTTGAAGTAATCCATTCCATATGCTGCCTATAGACTGAAATTTAGGCTGGAAAAGAAGCTTGTCAACAAACTTTTCAAGAATGTCTAGAGTCTCTTAATCCAGGAGCAAAAGGAAAAGCCTCAGTCTCTCATGTACTACTGATTTATTTTCACAATTGCAATGGATCCTCAAGGTCTAAGAGAATGGCTTTTCTACAGAAAGTAAAGAGATTAAATCAGAGGTGTGCATTCTTTTATCCAGGCCTTCATTTATTCATGTTCTTTAAATCAAACATCCTTTGTGCACCTGGTAGGTACAAAGCAACAGATAAAAAGTCATTGACCTCAAGGGGTTTCCAGTTTAAAAGGAAAAAAAAATTGAGACAGGTGTCATCAAAATAATAAAGTACCATGTGGATAAGACTAATTCTAACTAGGAAGTCTGAGGAAACTTCTATAAGGAAGCTAATCAGCTGAGCTAAGACTTGGACAAAAATATCAGAGGCAGTGCAAGAATGTCCAACAGGCATGTGGTTCAACCTGAGTAACAGAAGCTCAAGAATGTCTGTTACATCTTGGAATGGAGCTGATTGTCCCAGATCCAATGGAGGATGGAAATAGACAGGCACTGGAATTGTAAGGGTTCTAAATGCCAGAATAATGTGTTACCTTCATTAATTACATTAACACTAAACAGTGTACTACTCAGAACCCTGTAAAGAGGCAAAGTAAAGAGAAGCAAGATCTTAGAAAGAAAATCCCTATGGCAGTGGCGTAGGTTCAGGATCCAGACCCCTCAATGGCACTGCAGCTTTTTGGATTCTTTCTACATGAGCAGACAAGTTCTTCTCCGGCCTTAGATTATCCTCTTTGTAACCAGCCTTTGTCCTTTCTCCTTCCCTTCATTGGACACTAAAAATTAGGCAAACATAGATTCTGAGGAAATCTAAAGAGCTTTTGGTGGGGAGCAGAGGGAAAAGAAAGGTGATGTAAGTCTACCAGCCTTTGTTATACAGTTTCCAGGGAGGTCATCCTTCACCACTTCAATCCAGCAGCAGCAGCTGGGTTTTTTGATTTCCACCCACTTACTTTTTGGAGCCCATCTACATTTTCTTTTGTGTCACCTAAAGCGCTGCCTGACTTCCCATTTATGATCGCGGCTCAATCTCATGTCATCTTATTCTCCCCACAACCATTCATTCCACCTCCAACATACACGCAGCCTGTATGTGCCAACTGGAGCCCATCTCCTAAATTCATAGCCTCTTCCCTTCACTTCATCATTCTCATGCCCTCTATGTGGACAACTCCATTCTTGCTTCAGTTCAGATGTCTCATCTGTCCTAGAGAAGCCAGAGAAAAATGTTCTTTCCCCTCCAAACCATCTATATAGGGTACAGGCTCTCTCTGTGCTCTCCTTCTTAAGTTTTGGGTACCCACCTTGTTAACCAAGAGACATTTTAAAAGGTTCACTGGGCTCTTAAAATGAACTGCACATTAGGTAATAACCATATGCTGCCTTAAGAGAAGGGGGTGAGCTCTTGGAGACAAGTGGGCGGACAGAAAGGAGACAGGCTTCTTAGGCAACTGACTTCAGTAGCAGTCACACTTGGGCTGTGTTCAAAGTTGCTCACTCATCCATCACAGCTCTTAAAGACCATTAATTTGCTAGCCATTATGCTACCACATTTACCACACTGTGTTATGGGAGGAAGATAACACCATAGGAGATGATATGAAAAGGGATACAGCAACACCAAGTTGAATTAACCCTAGTACTCATGTAGAGGGGTAAAGGTAGGTGATTCACTTGGGGCTACAGGGGAGGCAGTTAAAAAAATGGAAAATCGTGGAACGTCCCAGAGGAAATGATAACCCCATTCTGGAGGCCTGGACATTACGCACACTGGCCATAAGGTACATTCAGCACCCCGAGTCAACGCTTCTTTTCTTCTTGTTCACCATCTTCTCCCACTACGCGAGTCACCCCATGCCACACTCACAATCCTGAGCCTCAGCATGCCCTCTGGGTGCAGGCTTCAGCTTTGTCCATCACCAGTCCACCGGCTGACACAGACATCTGTGGCTGGGAAGCCTAGCAGAGCTAAACGACGACCCTCTTGGGCCGCAAGCTGCCGCCTAACCTTCCATCCACGTTCCTTTTTGTGCCATCTGCCCAGTCTCTGCAGCCCACAACGCTAATCGGAGAAGGCAGAATGGAGAGGGGAATAGAAAGGGGGGGACCCAATTCACAAGGACCCAAGATGACCTGCTCCCCTGCCCCCTGTTCAGTGGGGCTGGGGGCGCAGTCAGACAAGGCAAGGGGAGCGCAATCCGTCCCAGTCCACAGCTGCACACAAAGCCCTTCACCTTCTCCTTGCCTTCCAAGCTCCTCCCTGGGCTTCGTTTTTCCGAGGGTCTCTGATGCCCCCTTCGGTGGTCGCCGGGACGGTCCGACTCCTTCTAGAAGGGCTATCTCTTCCCCGGCGTCTTAGCCTCTTCCTCCCCTCTCCTCGCTACAGACCCGGGAGGAAGCTCAGTCCGGGCTTTGGGAGCCTGAGGACATCCCATGCGCCACGGGACCCTGAGCCCAAGAGGTGGAGGACAACGGTTCAGCCTCCAGGGCACAACTGCGCCCCGTCGCTCAGCCACGGCTGCCAGGCACACGCCCCATCCCACAGCGGTCACTCGGGTCCCCACCAGTCCCATCCTCAGGCGGAGGGCAAGCCCAACCGCAGCCACGCTCCTACCTGCGTGCGGCGGGCGCGGCGACGGGGAGGGACTGAGCGCCCTGCCGAGCCTCGCTCCGCGGCGCGTCCGCCCTTGTGCGGCGGCGGCCGCTGGCTGGCTGGCTCGCTGGCACCCAGGCTGGCCGACTGGCTGGCTGCCCGCTGACTCCTCACTGGGGCTTCCTGTAGGGCTGGACAAAGGACATTTCCTGGGAGGAGCGGGGGAATGTTCCCAGCATGCCTCGATTTGTAGTTCGCGGGGACTTCCTGCCACCGCAGCAGTAGCCCTGGCCGGACTGGGACCCTGGGACTAGAGCAGAGGCGCTCGCTCCTTCCCCGCGCGCAGGGAGTGGCCCGTGGTGGCCGCAGCGCGCGGCGCGCACAGAGCCCGTGGTCCCCGCGAAGGCTGCGGCGCCGGGGCTGGACACTGTCGCTGAGCTGTCGCAGTGTGCGAGGGCTCTGCGGTGGGAGCGGCCCTTTCTGGAGAAATGAGGAAGTTTATGGTGGGCTTGCTTTGAGTCGATTTTTTTTTTTTTTTTT